TATAATATAATATAAATCTCTTTATAATATTTTCTTTCCCTGGAATTTTGAATATAAATATCCGGAAAAGAGATTGAGGAATTTTTAGGAAATTTTTTTTATAAGATTTGAATAGAAACACTCTGTATATATAAGTTGAATTGTATCATAAAAAACACGCACAATAGTTTTAAACATAATTAATTTAAGAGGAGTGATTTATTTCATTATTCTGGTTGTCGAGTTCTATACTAGTTCTATACTACATACAATAAGCAATTCTTACTTTAAACTTTGTTAGATTAAATCTTTTAGGTTCTTGAACATCTGGATTTTCAATTTAGGTATTTGCTTATAATTTTCTGTTTATATAAATTTCTGGAAAATCAGTCATATATGTAACAAGTAGATATCTTCTAAATGGTGATTTCACAATAGTATTTAATCTCCAGCAGCAACGTTTTAATTTCGATGTAATGTTAGTTTTCTTGCTCATAATTACTATAATGATAAGCTCGCTGCTTTATCACAATAAATAAAATTATTAAAGCTTATGTGCAAAGGTAAATATTTCAATTTTTGCTTACCTGTATCCTGTCTTCAGGTAGATCCGTTCTCAGACTTAGCATCTCGCGAGCGTAGACGTCAGGATAATGGGCCTCCTTGAAGGCTGCCTCCAGCGCCTCCAGCTGCTGTGACGTGAAGATCGTCCTGGAGCAACAACCACATGAACCTAGTTATATGCCATTACAGCGCTTCTACCTTAAATCTACCCTATTCTCGCGAAAGACCGTGACGTAAGTGTTATAATATATTTTGTGTTCAGGGATTCAATTAGAAGTATAAATTTTTATCAATTACTTGACTAAAAAAGTTAATGTTTTATTTATTATATTGCAATATCCACAAATGTGTTAGCATTTAAAAATTTAAATCTGAGAACTGGAAATACACAAGTATTGCCATTAAAATTGCATCAAAATATAGTATACACAACTTTTTCCTAGATATAATATCCAGTGGATATTTTAAATATGTATATCGATAAACATTAATAAATATATTAATAATTATTAATAAATATTGTATACTTAATATGTGTACATGGATATTATAAGAACCTGATAAAAACAAATTTAAAACAATTGTTTGAAACAAAGTGTGTGAAAGAACATTTTATTTTTTAAATCACAATTTGTTATATCTAAGTGTGCGCATGTAATGTTAATATTTATATAAAGATGACAAAATGCAGATAATTGTATTAATAATGTTTTTGATTAATATAACCAAAATTAAATTAATTAAATTATTTATTTAATCACACCGTCATGTAGTAATCTCAAAATTATATTTTTGTGGTAAATCTTTCGAAAAGGTTACGCCTCACTGATCATTATGATTTTTACATATAATAGATAGAATCCTGAATCATGTGCACTTTGAATCATGTTGCGAACTTTTCTAGTTTTTGAGATACGACACTTTAAAGTATTACATTTTTATTCTTGATTATATTCAGTTTTTCCTACTGTGTGTTATTCATATCACTTTGTTGACGTTTTTTGTTTATGTGTACGCTACCTCTTTGGTCTTTAGTATGACTGTTACACTATCGTCAACAGATTTCATCTATTTTTGTCGGTTCTTAAACAGCTTTGGACATGCGACTACCCGAGTTTTTGAGTGCCAAAGGAAACTTGTATTTTATTATTTTACTTTACTGCAAAATACATGCATGGGCAGAAAAAGAGCTCCGCCCTTCATGCATCCCCATCTCAAAAAAATTCTAACTTAACCCAAATTAATTTCTGTTTTTTAAATAAGAATTCCTCGCCCGTGTATGTACTTTGCAGTAAAGTAAAACATTAAAATACATCGTTTTTGCGTTAGTTAAAAATTTACTTTCTGCTACATAATCCTTATTTCAAATGAAGTGTTGCAAACTTATGTGAAAAATTATACAATTATAACACTGATAATACTAACATTTCTGAACATGATATGTCAAGATCAAAGTTATTAAAGCTGATGATCAAACTATTTATTATACTTAAGATATTTTTTTATTATACTTAAGATTATTTTTAAGTTTAAAAAATAGATAACTTTGAAGTGATATATACATCTCGAATCCACAACGTAATCCAAAGTGATTGAGATTTCTATCCACTATAATATATCAATGAAAATCAAAGTGATCGGTGAAATATAATCTTTTCGAAAGGTTTACCATTTTTGTTAACATTATTATTCTTGTTAACATCAATTCGCAATTGGCAATCGCTAATTTCCTTTTTCTAAGTGGCTGCAAGTACATATAAAAGCCCGACATTGGCTCTCGATTAATTACAAACGGAAACACGTTTTTCGTCAATGTAGACATGATGTAGATATGAGAGACGAGCAACCAGTCGGTAACCGATGATTACTTCGTTTCTTTTCTTTTTTATAAGCAAGATGCATAACTCCGCAATACGATGAACAGTCGATGATAGAAGAATATCCACAGCCAGAAGGCGCATATGTGCGTGATACGACAAAAACCGGAGAAGCGAATTTGACGGCAAGATGTCCAATTAGTCTTGCGATTCGACAAATTGTAGGTTGCGCGGAGAACGAGCTGGCATCTGCCTTTGTGGGCCGAACGAAAGCTTCGAAATTGAAAGTCATTTCCCGGACGATCATCGGCTCGTTAAGCGGACACGCGAAAATCGTCGACAATTTTGCCTCGGTTTTGTTGTACGCTTGTTTAAAGATTGCCGCGTAATCGTTTCAAATTCTACCAGATTGATTTCGGATCTTGAATGAAAATCGCATGTCACAATAAGCTATTTGAAATTTGTAACATTAGAAAATGCTTTTGTAAATAGCATTATAATAGTATTTTATTTTTTATTTGTTATAAATTAGGCTAAAAGATATATCTAAAATGTTCATATATACAACAAAATAATTATTATTATGTTTGGCTATGTAGAGAATACAGTTAAACTTTATTTCTAAATTTATCTGTTCTGCTTTAAAATAATTTTATTTTTTAACGCAAAAGAACACATCTCATTGATAATATTTCTATAGATAATGGGATGATTTTTGATACAGTATCGTTAAATTAAAATTATCAATAAGATTATGATTAAAACTGTATATCTATATGATAAATCTTTATGTCGCTTGTTATTATATAATAATTCAACTATCTTTACAAACGTCTAAGTAATTAATCTCTCTAATATGGAAGAAAATAGTACTATGTTTCATGAATCTATTACGTAGACTCTATAATTACGGCGGGAGAATATTATACAGCTAGATTCTAAAAGTATAATTAAGTTTTCTATTCGTTAAAGCGTTGTGTAATCATCTTCCGCAAATATGTGATTGCATTCAAATGTCCAATTTTACATCGTCAGCTGATTCAATTTCAATAACATTTATCGTACAATATAATGATAGAAAGAGATGCGTTTGTAATATTTCGTTTTACATTTCCAATTTCAGTTGAATATTAAAATTAGACTTTGTATCAATGCAAATTATTTTGTTACATCGAAACAGAGAAATATAAATCAGAAACTATTACAGTATAATCTGTATAAAAAGAACTTTTATATGTCACAAAATATATTTGCCGACTTCAAGTTGATAAGCGCAGATATTTTTGTGACAAAATATTGAATAATTAAAAAAAAAAACGCGATCCAAGATGGAAAACACAAAGCTGAAGTTTCTGTCAGAGACTCACCTATGACGACGCTTTTTCTTTTTCTTTTTGCTGAAACCCGAGAGTCCGTCCACTGTGAAGTCCTTCCCTGATTCTATGTTGTGTCCGACACCTATAATAAAAAAAGAACAAGCGTGAACATGTATTATGTTTGCATAACTTTAAGAAAACGATAAAATACGAAAGTGCCTCTCTTTTTCTTATGTGTCTATTATAATTATTATTATTACTTGGTCTCAAATTTTTTTTTATAAAAGATAAGGAATAAAAGTATAATTATAGAATATAATACATGAGCTAAATTAATATTTATGCGCTACAAAAATCAGAGCGTGTCGATATTAATATTTTACTGAATTTGCAGCTCATTATTTGATAGCATTATCTGTAATTGATAATTATACGGCTCTGTGTGCTGAAACCGCGCATCGCGTATCAAATTACCTATTATACCAGACTTGGCGATGATTCTCTGGACTCTGATATCAATCTGATATGCGCCTAAAAATGAGCGGGTTTTGTATTTCCGCGATTGCTTTTTCATATCAGTTCATTCTCATCTCCGCTTTATTTTACTTTACGATAAAAATGTCGACCTAGCTCAGTTAATTATTTTATTTCTGAATTAATTCATTTATATTTAACACATTACCACTTTCTTGCCAATAAATTTTTTTAATAAAGTCATTCCTTTACAAGATAATATTTAACATTATATACAGCACAAATTCAAATTTTTCTTATTGCTTTTAGTATATATATTATGTATATAATGAAAATATTATATAAAATTATTTTTGTATTTATAAATAAAAAGTAAAATATTAAAGATGAGCAGAGACGAGATTATATATAAATTATCTATTTTCATCCCAAACATTAATAGATAATTTCATAGTCTTTTTTAATTAAAAAAAATTAATTATTTAATTATATCAGTTTATAATTATCTGCTATGCACGCGTTTTCATTAAAAAAATTGCGTATTGCAACTAGGAGAGCTCGTTGTCTGTGAAATTTCTCTGAAATGTCTAAACGGTAATTTTTCTAGCGCGGCGAGTTGATACGGCGCGGAACATCCATAGTTACGAACAAAATCCGTTGGCCAAAAATAATTATCAATTGTAAATTAATGTCAAATTAACGAGCGAAAGCGGAGCCTGCGCGCACAATGAAGCTCTTCTCTAAGGGTGATTCTCGTTACTACTGTTCCCGCTGTCACCGGCACCGCCGGTGGCTAATTAACTAGTAATTAAGAGCTTAATTCCAATTATGCGTGTCCCTCGACTAATTGGAGTCTAAAATGTTCACTGACGTCAGCATTAGTATATGTATAGGAGACTGGTTGGCAGAATTTTTCGTTTAACCGACAATTCAATGACATTTTTGCAGAGAAGTTATTATTATGCAGCTCACTCATTTGTCTGATTGTTAAATGACATGCTCACAAGATTAAGCGCCGTGAATAAACGCAAGTAAATATAAAAAAATGACAAATTTACTGCTATATATAAGTGTAAGAAAAAATATTCATGAAAAGAAAGAGCAAAATATTTTTTTATCAAAAATGATATAAACCTGCTTCAATGGAAAACTAGAGATAATTTTACAAGAAGAGAAGAGAAATTAGATGAGCATTATATAAAAAAGAACAAAGAAATTAGATAAGAGCTAAAGCGCAATAATTGTGGCACAAAATTATTTATATTATATACATATAGTAATTTTAGATATAATATAAATGATGTATGTTTCGGTCCATCTATTTTTTCGGGTCATCTTTAGCAAAAATAAATTAACGTCATTGGGTAGAAATCAGTCACAGACAACGATAAACAAGCACGCAAAATTGAAAGAAGTCCGCTTAAATCTACGCATCTTATCTGAGTAATGATTTGTTCCGACATGCTAATCAATCTCACGAGAATATCCAATAAACTAAGCTTTCTAAAAATAAAAATCTCTCGCCGATTAAAAACTCACCATATAAAATTTCTACAATCAAATACATGATCCAAGACAAAAATTATAACTATTATAAGTGCGTCCAAGTGATTCATCGAGACAAATTCCGACTACCTTGCGTTTCATTTAATAGCGATTTAACTCTCGCCATTCCCAACCATTGCACTATATAAGTATAATGAGCAGTGCAGATGTATATTTGCTGACGAGTTGTATTCTCAATGCGAGTGAATCTCATTGCAAAACATTCTGACGGGTATTAACCACCGAGAGATTTGTGCTTCTTTATTATTGTTATTGCGAATAAACGGCGTTGCCATCTTTTTTTTACGTAAATTATCACGGTCGAGAACGTTTAGTTGCCGCATGCGGCCAAGTGCATTTTGTATGCGGTGTAAAACAGTAGGAGAAATGGCGGCCAAGGAAAAGGAAAATAAATATTTCAAGCTCAGAGTATACAGCAGCGCGCGATGCATTGTTTTTAGTGCTGTAAAGAGGCCTCTTTACGCCCCTGGTTCTGCGTTGCCTTCTTGTTTTCTGGTATTTAAGTGCGCTCATTTACCTCAAGGCGTCGGAATCAATCGTCCTGCTTGCGTAGGTTAACATCGCACTTTTAAGTAAATATTTTTATATGGCTTGCAAAATCTTGTGTTCTTTGTGTTAAATAAATAATAATGAAAAATTAATATTATAGAAAGAAATGAGATATTTGTTGCTATTTAAGCTTCAGTTTATAGATACCAGCAGATATTTTATGATTTATTTTTTTTTCAGTACAAGATAAATGCTGTGTATAAACTGTTACGATCACTATAGCACTAAGAGAGCAATTTTAAAAGTTGTAATATAATTCGTATTTCTTTGATTTATTAAACGTATAATAATATTGCCAATTTTGTGTTTATTAATAATAAATATAAATAATATAATGGACTTAAGGATTTATAATCACAATCACAAAGCATGTGTGATGCAGAGTTTAAATTATAGCAATTTATTTACGATATTTAACTATTTATTTTGATGTTATACGAGCAACTAATCTAAAAAAACTAATATTTCTTTTAAATATAGTATATAATTGACGTGTCCATGTATCTGTTTATAATTGACATCATTATCCAAATTTTATACTTAATTTATTATATACTAATACCAGCCTCGGTAAATCTTGACATTAACTTACACCTCACAAAAGAAAGAGAGAGAGAGAGAGAGAGAGAGAAAATCACAAATGTAATTTCAATCTAAAATCAAGAATAGATTTGGATTAGACTAGATTTTATCGGGGTGGAAGTGCAAAAGGAGGAGCAGTTCTCCTCCGCCGCTCACGTGTCTACTTTTTTAATAAAGTAAAATTATAAAATACATGGTTTGGAATTTTCCACGTAAAAGAAAGTTTGAAATAATTGATTTTGATATACTTACATATTTAAATCTCTAAATTAATAGTTAATAATAAATAGCTTAATGATAAATGCTTAATACTAATGAAAACTTTTTGAAAATTATTGAGAGTCATGATCTTAAAAAAATATGTCAAGATTAAGGTTATTGGGACTAAATCCCCTTTTCTAAACATTTTATTTTTATAATATTTCAAAGTTGTATAATTCAGGAATGATAAAAGGACGCCATAAGTCAAAGCGTCTATTACTTAAAAACGCACCCTCTACAATATACATACGTTAAAAAAAGTGATCCGTAAAGCCCGTTCTACATTGATCGCATGTTGCCAGTCGCAAGCAAATCGACCAATCACAGTCGATTATTCCGTCGAATATTCGACTGTGATTGGTCGATTTGCTTGCGACTGGCGACATGCGATCAATGTAGAACGGGCTTAAAGTGTAAGTTAATGTCAAAATTTATTTTAGTTTCGTAAAACTGATAACCCATCAGTTTAGACATTCAAGAATTTCAGAAATTCTTAACTCTCTTATTCTCTGAAATAGAGTTTACATATTTATTCATTATAATCATATACCACCGTATATCTCGAAAAATGTTCGCGTTACTTGTCCGCGAATTACATAGATATTAGACACTGCAAATCCGTTAAAAAGTCGACACTCCGAGGGTTAAAACAGTGATAGAGCTTCCCTGTAAAGTGTATTCATGCTACGCGCGGCTTTAGATACACCCCGAAGAGGTATACACGAGCGCCACGATCGGCGCGAGTGAAAGGCCAGCAAGAGGGGTGGAATGTGCGTAGACGGCCTGCGGAGAGGGTTGCCGCCGATCATGGGGTGATGGTGTGCGTCAGCCGGGATGGTGTCGTCAGTGGGCGCGCGCGTGTTGGTACCAGGCCGGTTACCAGGCAACCGACGATAAGGAGCGTGGATGGCCAATGGCGGCCCTCAAAATACCCCTTCGTCTAACACGGCTTGTTTCCCGTGCCAAAGAGCGAGACAGAAACAGGTTTTCGCTTTAGTAGCTGTTAAGGTCTTAAACCCCGCGTCTCGGATCGCTCGTTTCGAAACCCGGTCTCTCAGAGCTCAGCTTTCTCTAGCCTTCCGGATAATTGATATTCTCATCCGATATGCTGCGCGCCGCAGATGATTGTATATCTTATCTGAAAAATCAATTGATGGAGCGTGTGTCCTTCGATGTTTCGATAGATATCGAGGAAAGAATAAAGGACTACACCTACTAAAAAGGGTGATTAAGAGAGACTCTTGAGAAAGAAGGAAATTAAATTTAAAATAGAAGACTCTACAAAATATTTAAAGTATCGAAATATCTCTCAAATATTTTATTTATCAATCCTTCATTTATTATGTATATCTAAAACTAATTTAATCCTGATAAGGACAAGATAACATAAAAATAAAATTTTAACTGAACATCATATATAATTACTGTACGCAGGGAGATATATATATATATATATATGGCGATACAATTTTTAATTTCACCATAATGTAGTGACTAAATTCTTTGTATTGAATATTTTCAATTTTCTACTTTTGTCTTATATTTGTAAAAAAAGCTACCAAAACTGACATATTGTTTTGTTTTTAAACCTTAGTTCTTTTATAACATAAAAATTTTAAATAAATATTTATACTCTTACAGCTATTTATTAGAGAAAAAGAAGCTCTTTGCTTTATCAGATTGTGATGATAATATTATCACAATTTTGAT